GTGGGTGCATCTGTCGGTGCCGTTGCAGGTCTGGTGGTCATCACACCCGCTGCCGGCTTCGTGACACCTGGCTGGAGCATTGCCATTGGCGCCTTGGGCGCTCCTTGGTGTTACCTCACTGTTGAGGCGGTGAACAGGATCAACTTGGTGGATGACACTCTTGATGCCTTCGGCTTGCACGGCTCTGGTGGCTTTGCCGGTGCCATCTTGACAGGCATTTTTGCAGTTGACGAAGGCCTCATCTACAGTGGTAGCTTCGGGCTGTTGGGCAAGCAGATTGCAGGTGCGCTGGCTGGTGTGGCTTTCTCTGCCGTGGGCACTGCCATCATCGTGGGAGTCATGAAGCTGCTGTTCAAGCTTCGAATTCCAGAAGACCAAGAGCTTGGCGGCGTTGACCAGCACACTCACGGCGAGAGTTACCACAGCCCAGTTAAGAAGTACTCCCCAGGTGGCCGCAAGATTGACTCGGAATCATCAGAGGAGTCCGAAAGCATCTGCTGAGGGTAGAGAACATCTGACACTGGCAACTTGGATTCACAACAGTACTGCGATGTCAGTTATCTGTTGCATAATTTGCTGCACCGTCCAAGTGAATGGACACGCACTTACGTGATGGAAGCGATAAGTGCTTCTGTTTAGTCCGTATTTGGTTGGAGACCTTGCGGAAGACACTAGCGCCAACTGATCAGCGAAAGCGTGCCAGCTGGCCGTGACGAAAACATGTCATGCGGGGGCCCAGGACTCCGTGGCTGTCTGATTGCGCTTGATTCTAAACCCCAAGCCCTAAACCCTAAACCCTAAACCGGGGCTTGACATGTTAGACATGTTTCTGCGACAGGTCTTCAGCTTTCAGCTGGTCGACTCCATTCTGCTATGTGGTGGCGCGGCCGCTGGTGCTGCAAGTTGAAAGAGTTCAGGGTTTCCCTTCTGGCTTTTGCAGAGCAACAACGTTGTTGATGTTGTTCAGACTGATAATGTCGAACATGATGCTGGTGAGGATATGGGAGGACAAGACTGTGTGGGAAGATGAGGAAAGGAGGATCCGGGCAAGGCGGGCATGAGGTGCAGGAGCAGGATGGGGTCGGTCTACTCATGACAAACATGCATGCTGATCTATGTCGTGGTGGCGGTGATGATAACAACGACAAAGCTGATGATGTTGATGAATCTTCAGAATGTTGGTGAAGAAGCTGAAGCACATAACGACGGTGATGCAACCTGAACAGTTGCCCTCCAGCGCAAACCATACCACTTAAAGCCTTAACCTCCCCCACCCTCCCCGACCAGAAACCATGAAGCATTACAACCCGTGAACCCTGAACTCCTGGAAGCCCTGAGGCAGGAAGTCGAAGTCCTTGAACCCCATGATTTCGATGCAACCCTGTGGCCCGTAGGGTAAAACCTCTCCCGCGCCCCCAACCCTAAGCCCTGCACCCCACGACCCCTAAACCCTAGACGCTAAACCCCACGCCCCCTTAACCGTAAACTCTAAGCCCTACGCCCTAAACCCTAAGCCCCACGCCCTAAACCCTATAAAGCCCCAAACCCTGCAGCGTAGACCCTGAGCTCTTCGCGGGGTTCACCCGTCGACCGGCCCACAACCGGCGGCCCCAAGCAGGTCTTCTCAACCCGAATCTGCAGAAACCCGGGTTTAATATAGGGACCTTCATAATTACCTTTACTATTTTGGGGGCTCCTTATTATAACTATACTATAATGGGCCCCCAAACCCTATTCTAATTGTTAAGGTCCCTTTTTTTAGGGTTCAGGTTTCAGTCAGGGTTTAGGGTTTAGTTTAGGGTTTGGGATTTGGGATGTGGGTTTATGGCCCAAACTATACATCCTCAACCCCAAATGAGGATGGGCTTCTCGCCGGGATTGACCCAGGCTCTGGAGACCTGCGCCCCTTGGCGATTGGTTCCGGGTTTAGGGTTTAGGGTTTAGGGTTTAGGGTTTAGGGTTTAGGGTTTAGGGTTCGGGGTTGAAGAGCTGAGAGTTTGCACCTCTGACTTTTTTCCTTTTGGACTCCACAAGGTAATGCTTCCAAAGCTTATTTAGGGCTTTGAATTTCGTTTTAGGTTTCAGGCGTTGGGGCGTTCAGGGTTCACGGCAATTCCATGAATGTAGTGCTTCATATTTAATGGGTCCTGGGTCGGGTGTTCTTGTCCGAGCAGGGCGACGAGATATCGTCGGGCCCCGTTCCAACAACGAACAGCCCGTTGACTCTTCTGCGACCCTTCTGCAGTTAAGTCACATGGGGGTTTCTGAAAATAGG